TCTTCCCTGCCCCAGGACCTTTGTTCATGCTGCTTCTAGTGCTGAACCCTACCATGTCTCTTCCTAGCTCCACAAATTGGACTTCCTGTTGCTCATGATTTATTTTTTACCAATTTTATTTTCATTTTTATTGATTTTAGAGAGAGAATATTCATTTACATATTGCCCATTCATTTACATATTGCCCATGGCTGCTCTCCTGTTTCAATTAGTCTGCTTTTGGCAAACATTTAATTAACTCATCGCTAATGCCTTGGCTGGGCCAGATGAGATGATTTGGGGGCTCTTATCTGGCCCACAGGCCAGATGTTCCCCACCCCTGCCTAAGTTCTAGAAACATCTCCTGAAACAGTCATCAGCGACGAGGACCACCCAGGAACTTCAAATTCGGCATTTCAATCAGTCATTCTCTTCTTTGGGGAAAATACAACATGGGCCCAGCATGGCCTAGAACTACAGATTCTTCTACTGTTTGAATCCTGAGTCTGTTTACTCTGCGTCTCCCAATCCATTAAGAGTAGTATTAGACTTACAGCCTGAGGCTGGGAGGAAAACCAAGCATACTGGATTTTTTTAGCCTAGGAAGAAAATAAAGAAGGGCATAAAAACAAGCAAAAGCTTCTGTAAGTGAAAAAAAAAACAGAAGTCAAGTCTGAATAGACACTTCTGCTGGGTTTCAGTAGGCAGGAGCAGAAGCCAGAAGCACACTGGCTGTCCAACACATTTTTCACCTTGACAGATGCCAGATGTACACTAAGCACAGCAGAGCTGGCAAGAGGTGAGCAGGCCACAGGCTCAGGGAAAGCATCTCTTGGCAGCTCCCGATGACACACCAGGCACAGCCAGGATTTGGAGAATGCCACATTTCAATCCAATCTCCAGCCTGGACCATGGTGACATAGCTTAAACCTGTTTTCTCTCTAGTTTGGAGAGTTCTTATCTTGAAAGCAGAAAGTATGACACCAAAGTATAGACTGAGCCCAGCTGGCATGGCTTAGTAACCCAGCATCGACCTATGAACCACGAGGTCAAGGTTTGATTGCGAGTCAGGGCACATGCCCAGGTTGCCAGCTCAATCCCAGTGTGGGGCATGCAGGAGGCAGCTAAGCAATGATTCTCTCTCATCACTTAATGTCTCTCTCTCTCTCTATCTCTCCCTCTCCCTTCTTCTCTAATATCAATAAAAATTTATTTTAAAAAACAAGTATAGACTGAGATGACAGAGAATGACTATCAGGCGGGTCATTTTGGAGAATGTCTCAAAGGATGACAATGAAAGAGACGGGCAGGCCAGACTTACACGATCATGCAGAACATCATGAAAACATTCCACAGGGCGATGAAGATTCGGAAGTACCTGAGGCTCAGTAGGAATTCCCGGATGTTGTCACCTGGAAGGTCAGAAAGCAGGTTTACAAGCACTGCTAACATTTCTGCTGTCACAGCTGCAGGTGCTTCTGCAGTTTCTGCCCACCCCAAGCCCCCTGCCCTCATGTTCCATAGTGGCAGCTCTGCTTTTCCTTTGGGTCTCTTCTGCTCCCTAACCCTCAGCACTCAGGCTGCCACTGACCAATCTCCCAGCCTCTGATTGGTCAGGAAAGAGTAAGTGACCCATGTATAGCCCAATAAGAGTCAGCCCTGGGACTTTTGCCCCAATTACTGTTTTCTGCCGGGCTTCCTGGCTGGGCTGAAAAGGTAACAGCAGAGTCCTCTAGGACAGGCATTGGCAATGTAGGCTCAGGAACTGAAACCAGCCCCTGCCACCTGTTTCCGTGTGACCCAGGAGCTAAGGATGTTTTTCATATTTCTTAATGGTTCAAGTAAAAAAGTAATAGAGTATTTGGTGAGATATAAAACTTACATGAAATTCAAATTTCAGTGTCAAAAAAGTTTTATTGAACAAAGCTATGACCATTCATTTACATATTGCCCATGGCTGCTCTCCTGTTTCAATGGCAGAGTGGAATTGTTGCACCAGAGATGGCATGGCCTGCAAAGCCAAAAACATTTATAATCTGGCCCTTTACAGAAAAACATGCCAAGCCCTGCTCTAGGGTCATCTTTGCCCACACATGCCAGCCTGATAGTAAAACCACCTAAAAGGGAAAAGAGAGCTAGAGACAGCTACTTGCTGGGGGGGAGAGGGGAGGCCTGCTTTGAGTCCTACATCAAGTGTGCCTGAAGACAATTCTATCCTTGAGTGTTTCACTTTGCTTTAACCACTCTGAGATGGGATTTTAGGGTTTGCAACGAAAAGCATACTAATTTGGGCAAGTATAACAGCAGTTCTGCTTTGGTGACAAGTTACCTCTATTGCCAAAAAACAGAAACCACTCCAAGAGGAGGCCATTTGGTACATTAAGATTCCAGAGACCTGTGTTCCAGAACCTTCCTCTTGGGTTTTGAGTCATTTTCCCCCACCCACCCCCAACCCAGCCTCCGGAATGAAATTAACTGGTCCAGGTTAGTAGACCTACGAGTGTACTACCCAGTGTCATCTAGAGATCACAGCTCTCTGGTGAGTACAAAATACCGGGGAGGAGCTCTTTTCGCAGCAACCCAGGACAACAGTCACCTGTTAGTGGTACTGCTGTGCCATCCTAGTGCACGATGAGCACAGTCTTGTTGGCCAGTATTACCTACCACATGTAGTTGGCCGTGTGTGGCAAGGCTATATGACTTAGCATGGGCTTCAATGGTCAGAGACGGGTCTGTCAAAGGATGTCTGAGTGGCACTGCTTGGCAAGGCCCTTCTCTAAACTGAGGATCATGTAAATTGGCTCTCCTGCCATCAACAAATGCTGATTAAGGCCACTGGCTCCAGGCAGGAGCCTAGTGTGAGAAACACAGGGAAGAATAGACAGGTGTCCCTGCCCCCTAAGGAGCTGGGGGGAGGCGAGGGGGGCGCACAAATACCAAACAAGCACCCAGCAGGAAAGAGCTAAATACATGGAGTCTCTTCTCTGGTGCTTAAGGTCAAGTGTGAGGGGTAGAAATTATCCAGATGACAAAATACATATAAAGAAAAATAATAACTGTAGGGAGTTATGAGTGCTAACCTATGCACGGAGATCTGGCAGAAAAAAGAAGTGACAAGTGGGCAAGAGGAACATCACATCCTTGTGCCCCCGCCTCTTTCTCTCTCTCTCTCTCTCACACACACACACACATACACACAGAGGCAGAAAACGGAGACACACACACACAGGCAGAAAACGGGTAGGACCTGAGAAAGAACTGTCCTCTCTGGACCAATTCCCGAGTCCAGAAAGGAGGCTTTACCTGTGCTAGGCTCCCTGGACTCCTCCCCAAAGCCATGCGTGTCCTTCTTTTTCCTACAAAGAGAAGCAGTGTCCACTTTCGATAGGATCCAAGGACCGCTCAGTCCCTGGCATCAGGGCCACACTCAGCTCTATCGCTGACTTGCAGTGTGACCTCGGCGGTTCATTGACCCTCTCTAGGCGCCCACCTGCCCCACCAATTATAGCCATCGACAAAGTGGAGAAGGTAACCCGTGGACACATGTTAGGAATAAGAGTTTCCTGGGGGATGGGCTTGGGATCTTCGGGGTGGAGCAGAGGGATGCCTGGAGAACGAAGAGCCAAGATTTCAAGCTGCAGAGGCGCCAAAAATCTCAGGGGCAAGGACCGGCTGCAAACCGGTTCAGAGGGTTGACTGGGACTTGGGTGCAGGGCCTGCGGCGCGGGGCTGGCTCAGGCTCGCGGGGGCGGGCTACGGGTGCCCGGGTGGAGCAGCGGTCCTTCGCGGCCTACTCACAGCTTAAAGTTGAGCACCGCTCCGGCGTTCATCAGCAGCGTTCTGCGGAGGAAGAATGCAGTTACCTAGGCCGCCCCCAACCCTGTCGGGCCCTACTTCCCCGGCCTCTAGTCCCCTTAATTACCCGAAGAGCAGGATGTCTCCGATCATCTTCACGGCTGAAGTGTACCACAGAACCGGAAGCGGAAGTCTAGGGAGGGCGGGGCGAGGAACACGAGACGACCAATTGTGAAGCAGCGCTGGCGAGGGCTGAGCCAATCGAAGGCCAAGGCGGGCAGGGTCCCGCCCTTGGCAGGCCCGCCCCTCTTAGGGAAGAGGAAGCGCCTGTACCAGCTGGAGAGGCCGGGAGCGCGGCTGAGAGGGGCTGGGCGGCCGGGTGACGCCATCTGCGGGCGGGGCCATCTGGGATGGGATTAGGTCACTCAGGAGGCGTGCCGCACAGGGGGACCCGCGCACTGGGGACTCGGCTCCCGGCTTTATCTTCTGGAAAGGAATCTCGGATGGGGCTTCTGGAGAAACGGCGCCAAGATCACGGAGCAGCACAGAGGAATGGGTCCTGACACAGTGGGCTGTGCGGGCACGGATGCCCCGACTGATTGGGGAGGGTCCTCCCGGGCCCCAGGAGAGACGCGGATCCCCACGTCTGTGGCGGGGGATCCCTCCTGAGCGGTCCCTTTGGAGGACGGAGGTCCCTGTGGGGGACGGAGGGCATAATGTACGGAGTCACTTGGAAGCTGCATAGAGGACGAAGTCCTGACTACAGGGACCCTCTGAGGCACGGCGGAATGGGTTCTCCACTTATCAGGCCCCACGAGGGTTGGAGGTCCCGACCCGAGGGCTCCACAGAGGACGTGGGTCCTCATCAGCACCACCTGGGTGCGGTTCTGAAGGGTCCGTCCCACCTACTAGGTGGGTTCGGTGCGTGAGGGGCCCCTCTCCCCAAATGGACCGCTCCCCTGCCCAGCTCCACAGAGACCAGCACCCGCCTCGCTGGGCTGAATGGAGTGGTGAAGGCTCAGAGGAGGGACAGATTGGGGACACCTGACCGGCCGGGCTGCCTGGGCCAGGACGGCCCGGGACAGCTGTCGCCCCTCCTTTCGGATTGGGGGCGGTGCCTGGCGGGGTGGGCGGGCCCGGCAGCGGGAGAGGGGGGGCCGCAGTGGCGGGTTCGTGGGCGGCGGGACGCACCGGGCCGGGGGCTGGGGTGGGACCCGGCGTGCGCCATGGAGCTGCTGTCGGCGCTGAGCCTGGGCGAGCTGGCGCTCAGCTTCTCCCGGGTGCCGCTCTTCCCCGTCTTCGACCTCAGCTATTTCATCGTCTCCATCCTCTACCTCAAATATGAGCCAGGTGAGCGCGGCGGAGGCTGGAGGGGGCTGGCGGCGGGGCAGGGGCCCGAAGGGGCAGTGAGTCCTGGGTCGTGGCGAGGGACGGGAGCCGGGAGCCGGGTTCGGGAGCTCAGGCAGGCGCTGGGATCATGGGGTTCTCCCATACCGGGTGGGAGAACCATGGAGAAACGGGAGGGAGGGCGAGGAGGTGTTAGGGCTGGGGGAGGGGCAGAGATGGGGGCAGGAGGGAAGTTCGGAGGAACAGGTGTTGGGAGTTTGCAGGGAGAGAGGTCAGGGCAGGGTCGCATGAAGTTGGGTCAGGGGCGCAGTCGTGGTGAGGGGGCAGTGGGGTGGGCGCTGCGGGCTAGGCCAGATGTCTTGGCCGCCCGCAGCGGTGACCTCCCTCCTTGCCCTTGGCTCGGGAGCCGGCGGCAGCTGAGTGTCTATATTAGGGCCGGTCGTGCCGGGGTCAGTTTCAGAGAAAGTGACACCAGTGCCCCCTCCCCGCTGCCACTCTGGGGCTCCCTGTCCTGCCTGCCCCCCCAGGGAGGCTGCGCTGGATCTCTGCTCCCTGCGGAATTCTCCCAGCTCCGACCCCCATCCTTTCCACAGACTGAGCGCCACCGGCCCTGGGGTGGGGTCATTTGGGGTCACCCTTCTCCCACCAGCTCCAGCCCATGGAGAATCGCAGAGGGGAAGACCCAGCTTCTCATATTTAAACATACTCTCACACACACACCATTTTTGAAACGAGGATAAATGGCCTCCACAGAATGTGTTCTATTTTTATCCAAGGCTCAGGGACTAGTTATTGTTCTCCTAGTATTTTAATTATTTTGGTTACACCGGCAAACTAAATGGACAGTGGAATTTAGCTTTAGAAAAAGGATTAATCACCCAAAACTTTGTGACCCTTTCTCCCACTTAGATGTAAATTACCCCATAGTCTCTCTTGGAATGGAAATAGTTTGGGTTTTTTTTTTTTTTTTTTTTTTTTTAATGATAAAAATAGGTGCTCCTATTTATTTTAAAATCAAGCCGAAAAGCACAAAGGAAAAAAGAGAGAATTACAGTTCATGTGGTGGCCACTCTTCCAGATCTCCCTTCTCTGCACTTATAACCCCCAGTTATGAACGTAAACCCACCCACGATCTTATGCAAAGAGTGTCATACTCTGCTTGCCAAATGTTTTTGTTCCGTTTTATTGTTGCCAGTCCACAGGCCAGAGACTTTTTTTTTTTAAGCTTTTCTCTAGAGCAGTTACTTTGCAAAGCAAAATAAGCTTTGTGTTGTCGTAGCATGACCACGGGACTGTATTTCCTAAATAGGGATGAATTCCTGGAGGCTCAAGCCAGTCTCAAGGTGTGTACAGAACCCAGCACACCTAAGGGAATCTCAGGAATGTAGGACACAGCTGTCTGGAGGAAAGGGGGTCTCCAGGTTGGCTGGGAGGATGCAGGAGGAGTCAGGATATTCCTACTGGAGTCACAGTGTAAGTCGTCTGAACTAGAAGTTTGAAGGTTCCTGAAGGTTGAGAGGGTTCAATAGTTCTCAGCCCTAGCTACACCTTTGAGCCTCCTGGGGGCTCTCAAACCCTCCAATTGACTCAGAATATCTGGGAGGGGCTCTGTATCCTCCTGTTTGAAGTTCCCCTCCCCCAGTGATTGCTGTCTACTGTCCAGGTTGAGAACACATATCCCTCCCCCAGTACAACTTCCTCCTTTGGTAACTGGGGAAATAGAAAAGGGGCGAAGCTAATTTACATACGCCATGAGCCTCTTGTCCTCTGGCTGGTAGATGCTGGTGCTGCTTACCCTCGGAAAAGCAAGGTGTTGGACTTTGCTGTTAGTCTTACCCCCTTCCTTCATGATCCCCGTCCCCGATTTGGTGGTTCTGCTGAGCCTTTGTAAAGAGCTCTACTCAGAACCCATGGACAGTTTGCAGGAGCAGGTTAGAATTTGCAGAATCCCTTCAGAAATTAAGAATCTCCAGACAGTGACATCAGAACATGAAACTGAAGGCAGGTTCTCTGAGCACCGGGTCCTGGGCAATTGCAAAGGTAACACTCTCAAAGATGAGAGCCGGCCACCTTTAAGGAAGCAGTCTCCAAACTGGGAGTGGTTCTGCCTGTAGCATAGGCTGCTTACTTAGTCTCCATGAGCTTCAGTTTGCTCATCTGTGAAATGGGTGCATTGGTGAAATAATCCCGGACTCCCTTTCCCAGCTGTTGTACGATCTATTGAGAACTTTGCCAATGGCAGGGTCTAAGGCACTTGAGAAAGGTACTTATAATTGTTTTTGAGGCGGTGAGGGAATGTGTTTCCTGGAATGCAGGCATTTTCTGGGTCAGGCTTTCCTGAGAATGAAGATGAAGCTGGCAGTGTGGTCCTCAAGTGAACAGCATCCGTGTCCCCTGGGAGCTGGTTTAGAAATGCAGAATGCCAGGAGCACCTCTGACTCAGACATGCATTTGAATAAGATCTCCTTAAGCACACTAACGTTTGAGAAGTGATAGGAACTGTAAGAGGCTGGAGCTCCTTTAAAAAAAAAAAAAAGGTTTTGTTTTGTTTTTTATTGACTTCAAAGAGAGGAAGGGAGAGGGAGAAAGAGATAGAAGCATTAATGATGAGAGAGAATCATTGATCAGCTGCCTCCTACATGCCTCTCCTGGGGTAGGGCATGTGTCTTGACTCGGAATTGAACTGTGACCTCTTGGTTCATAGGCCAACACTCAACCACTGAGCAACACTAGCCTGTATGGGGCTCCTTATTAAACCAAGATTGCTTCCTGGGTCTGGGGGTGTGGGTCTGGCTCACTTCCAGGACCCCCAGCTCTATGCAAGAGACAGGAGGAAGCAGTGGGTGCTGGCTGTTGCCTGCATTATGGAAGGAAGGAAGGAAGGAAGGAAGGAAGGAAGGAAGGAAGGAAGGAAGGAAGGAAGGAAGGAAGGAAGGAAGGAAGGAAGGAATTATAATCCTGGTTGCCTTAGGCCTGACCCATCCAAAGAACTTTTCAGACCAGTGGTCCTCAGATTAGACCCACTTGAGAACTTTTAAAAATCATCTAGGCAGAGAGATGCAAATCAAAACAACAATGCGGTACCATCTCACACCTGTCAGAACGGCCAACATCAACAAATCAACAAACGACAAGTGTTGGCGAGGTTGCGGAGAAAAAGGAACCCTCTTGCACTGCTGGTGGGAATGCAGACTGGTGCAACCACTGTGGAGAACAGTGTGGAGTTTCCTCAAAAAACTTAAAATGGAGCTCCCATTTGACCCAGTAATCCCACTCCTACGAATATATCCCAAGAAACTAGAAACACCAATCAGAAAGAATATATGCACCCCTATGTTCATAGCAGCACAATCTACAATAGCCAGAATTTGGAAACAGCCTAGGTGCCCATCAGCAGATGATTGGATCAAAAAACCACGGTACATCTACACAATGGAATACTATGCTGCCATAAAAAAGAAGGAATTCTCATCATTTGCTGCAACCTGGATGGAATTGGAGAACATCATGCTGAGTGAAATAAACCAATCAATGAAAGAGAAACACCACATGACCTCACTCATTTATGGATAATAAAGAACATTATAAACTGATGAACCAAAGGATAGATATAGAGACAGTAAAGTAACAAGCAGACTGTCAAATCACAGCAGGTAGGGTAGGGCGATCTGGGGGAGATAATAGATCAACCGAAGGACTTGTATACATGCATATAAGTACAACCAATGGACATAAAACTCTGGGGAGGGAGGGTATGTATGGGAGAGGATAGGCAATGTTAAAATATGTACACAGATAATTTAATTAAAAAAAGAATATATATATATATATATATATATACACACACACACACACACACACACACACACACAGAAAAAAATAAAATAAAAATAAAAATAATCTAGGCAGCATCTTGCCATCATTTAAATCAGAATCTCTGGGGGTAGCACCAGCATCAGTATTTTACTTTCTATAGAGCAGTTACTTATCACACCATTTAAATATTTTCTAAAATGTATTTTTCAGTGATAATATATTAGTTTCGGGTGTTTTAAGGTTCCCCACATGAGACCTGGGTCCCTCCACCAATTTTCCCACCCTCGGCACTATTGATGGTGAGAACCAGACCATTCTCTGAGGTGAGGGCAGTTCTGTATTTCAGGGTTTTTTACAGCATCCCTGGCCTCTGCCCACTAGCTGCTGATCTTTTTTTTTTTTTTTTTTAATTTATTGATTTTTTGCAGAGAGGAAGAGAGTTAAAAACATCGATGAGAGAGAAACATCGATCAGCTGCCTCCTGCACACCGCCCACCCTATGGGACCTCTCAGTCCGCAGGCCAACACTCTATTCACTGAGCCAAACCGGTCAGGGCACTGCTGATCATTTTACTGCCTCCATAGTTCTATCCACTGTGACAACCAACTGTCCCCATACATTGCCAATATCCCAAATATTTGCTCCCAGTTGAGAACCATTGATTCAGACTGAATCTCAACCTCCAGTGCTATCGAGGACCAGGCAAGTGACAGATAGGAAGCAATAAACCAGCTGTGAGGACCGTGCCCAGGTGAGATCCAGCCAGGCCCTTCTCCACCCGGTTGGGGCTGGAACCATCAGAACTGGTTTTTCCAGGGAAGCTGGAAATGTGATTTGGCTATTGGAACACTTTTTTTCCCCTTCTTGTTTTCTTTTATTTAAAGTAATAGACTATTTCTAAAGCCATTTTAGATCTAGATAAAAATTAATCTGAAATGACAGTTTCTATATATTACTGACCACCCCCATCACATACACATAGCCTTTCCCACCATCTGCATTCTCCACCAGAGTGGTACATTTGTTACAATTAATAAACCAACATAATTATCAACATTGTTATTATCATGCAATTATTATCGTAGGTTGACAACATCATTATCAATCAGTCTATAGTTTACATTAGGAGTCTTTGGTGGTGTACATTTATGAATTTTGGCAAATGTATAATGACATATACTCACCATTATAGTATCATACGGAATCGTTTTACTGCCTTAAAAATCCCCTGTGTTCCACCTATTCATTACTCTCCCCTACCCTCATCCTGGAACCCCCACCAAGGTCTGATCTTTTTTCTTTTTTAAATATGTTTTTGTTGATTTCAGAGAAAGGAAGGGAGAGGGAGAGAGCGATAGAAACATCAATGATGAGAATCATTGCTCGGCTGCCTCCTGCACGTCCCTTACTGGGGATGGAGCCAAATCTCGGGCATTTGCCCTGACTGAGAATCGAACAGTGACCTTCTGGTTCATGGGTTGATGCTCAACCTCTGAGCCACACCAGCCAGGCAACCTCTGGTCTTTTTACTGTCTCCTTCCCCAGATTGTTAGACTCGTGCAATCTGTATCCTTTTCAGACTGGCTTCTTCCACTCAGTAATATGCATTTAGGGTTCCTCCACATCTTTTTGTGGCTTGATAGGTCATTTCTTTTTACTGTTAAATAATATTCCATGGTATGGATATACTACAGTTTAGTTATTAAATTATTGAAAGACATCTTGGTTGCAGTTTGATCATTTAAAAAATTCTGTGTGGGTACCAAGCCAGTGTTGCTCAGTGGTTGAGCATCAACCCATGAACCAGGAGATTGAAGTTCCATTCCCCATCAGGGCACATGCTCAATCCCCAGTAGGGGGCATGCAGGAGGCAGCCAAGCAATGGTTCTCTCTCATCATTGATGTTTTTCTCTCTTTCTCCCTCTGCTTTCCTCTTTCTGAGCTCAATAAAAGCATATTTAAAAAAAAACAATTCTGTGTGAGCTAAGAGAACACTTTCTTGCTCTCTGGTTTGAATTGTAAGCTTTTTGAGTGCAGAGGGCTACTTATCTCCAACCTTGCAAGGCAGGGACTACCAACTCCTACAAGAAAGGAAACTGAGGCAGAGAGCTTTTCAAAGGCTCTAAAAAAGAGGATTTAGAGTTGCTGAGAGATTCTGTCAGTATTCTTCATATGTTTAAATATATATTTTATTGATTTTTCACAGAGAGGAAGGGAGAGAGATAGAGAGCTAGAAACGAGAAACATCGACCAGCTGCCTCCACCTTTCAGTCTGTAGACTGATGCTCTTCCACTGAGCCAAACCGGTTTCGGCAATATTCTTCATATGTTTAGACCTCAGAATAAATAGTACCAATGAGGGGCAGTGCTGAAAATGCCCGGGGGGACTTGCTAGCACTTCCCTGCCATGGGACTGTCATGGAGCCCATCAGGGAGACCTGATCGGGTCTCCTCCTCCCTCTAAGGCAGAGCTAATTTTTATAAATCCATCCACTAGACTTTCCACCCACAGGTACTTTCCATTTCAGTTCAGTTCCAGGAATAACTCTCACGTAGTTACTAGGCACTAAGCAATTCTTTTCCTTCCACACTGGGGTGACCAACTCAGCCAGGTTTGCTCAAGATAAGGATCCAAAGTCCAATGTCCCTGGAATTCTTAGGTCCCAGGCAAACTGGGATAACCTAAACAGATTGAAGCCAGGAGAGGGGAGAACTCTGGTGGCAAACCTGGGGTTGAAACCTAATATTTTGCTGCTTCTGGGTGCTATCCCCAAACCAAGGAATGTGGCAAAGGGAAGGAGTTAGGGGGACTGTTTTCAGCCCCTGTTTTGCTATGGGTCTTCAGGGCAGGTTATCTCCATCAGCCTCAGTCTTCTCATCTGTAGCAATGGGGAGACTGTTACTGTCCTTCTAGATTGCCAGGAGGGTATTGATAATGATAAGAAACATGATGATTATAATGCACACTGCACTGATTAATCAATACATCTCCAGGAATGGGGCACTCTCATTCTATCTATCTCTCTTTTTGTTAATCCTCACCCAAGAACATGCTTAGAGGGAGGGAGGGAGGGAGAGAGAGAGAGAGAGAGAGAGAATATTCATGGGAGAGAAAAATATCTATTGGTTGTCTTCCATACGCTCCCCAACTAGGGATCAAACCCGAAAACCAGGTATGTGCACTGACTGAGAATCAAACTTGCAACCTTTCTGTGCACAATCAAATGAACCTCCTCAACAGATTGGGGAGGGAGCAGTCATTTGCTCAAGGCCATGCCTGAGTGAGCAACAGAGTAAAAATCCAGGCATGTGACTTTATTTTAATTAGGACTCACAAACATGGAACAGTACAAGAATAAACTGTTTTGTGTACTAATATCTCTAAACCTACTTTGCCCACCTCTGTACTTCCATCTACAAACATGGAACCTGCTTTACTCCTGCGAAACCCAGGTCCTCACCCCTACTCCCCAGTCTCAGTCCCTGGGATAGCCCAGAGGGCACCCAAAAGACCCTGGGAAGAATTCAACCTGGGGGGGGGGGGGGAGATGCTATTTTTAAACACAGAGGTATCCATTTCTGCAAAACATGGGTGCCTCACCTGACGTGGTCCCTGCAGGCCCCACCAGCTGCTCTGAAGGATTAGCGCTCAGCTGGCAGGGTTTTAAATAGACACTCCCGAGAACTCTGCTTTCTTAAATCCTGTAACTAAATCCTTAACCACTGAGACTTTGGGAGACTTTGGCAGGGAGAAGATGCATATGGTACAAGTAACTACATGGTGGGATTGAGGAGGGAAAATTTGGTTCCAATCATCGTTAGGAGTCGAGCAAAGAAGGGATTAAGGGGTAGCACCTGACAGAAGGAAAGGGACACACAGAGAAAAAATAGTTTGTCCAAGACCACATGGTTAGTTGGTGGGGATGGCAAAGAGGAAGGGGAGGGTGTTGATGACTTACTCTAAGACATCTTTTATTAGGCATGCTTTCTCATAAAATGTAGTGCATGCAAGGGAATGGTTAAATAACTTGTGATCTAGTTCTATGATGGATCTACAATGGTAAAAATGAATATTACTTTTAAAAAATATTGTGCTCAGTGAAAAAGACACATGCAAAAGGGCATGTCATATACAAGGGTGGGCAAAAGCAGATTTACATTGCTAATGCAAATAAACAATATTATACAATGATTGATAAATAACAGTACAAGAATAAACTGTTTTGTGTACTAATATCTCTAAACCTACTTTGCCCACCTCTGTACTTCCATCTACATGTAATATATAACTTTTAGGACATTTTCATCACCCCAAAAGGAAATCCCATTGCTACTAACTGCCACTCCCCATAACCCTGCCTCCAGTCCCTGCCAAGCACTAATTTGCTTTCTGTCTCTATGGATTTGCCTGCTCTGGACATCTATTTATATAAACAGGGAATATGCTAATTAGCCGGGCGTCACAACCTCAGGAGGAGGCCTAGGGGAGGCTAGGTGGGGGTGGGCCAGAGTGGAGACACAACACACAGGAGTGCCTGCCCCCACCCCAGCAGACACAACAAACAGTTGGTGATATGCAGGTCTGCACAGGTCTCATGCCGCTCCCCCCGCCCCCCCCCCCCCCCCCAGCCCAGGAGTGCCTCCTCGTGCGATTTCAATCCCACCTTGGGCCTCTAGTTTCATATAAATGTCATCATACAATATATGGTCTTATGGCTTTTTGTGTCTGGCTACTTTCACTTAGCATGTTTTGAAGACTTATCTATGTTGTAGTATCTATCAAGACTTCATTCCTGTCAATGTGCCCAGTGGTTAGAGCATTGGTCTGCACACCGAAGGGTTGAAGATTTGATTCCCGGTCAAAGGGCACGTCACGTACCTGCATTGCAGGTTCAGTCACCAGGCAGTCAGGACGAGTGCAGGAGGCAACCAATCAATGTGTCTCACCTCAGTGTTTCTCTCTCTCTCCTCCCACCCCCCAAAAAAAAACTTCATTTCTTTTTTAAAATTAATTTATTTTCCAATTACAGTTGACATACAATATTATATTACTTTCATGTGTACAATATAGTGACTAGACATTTATCTGCCTTGCAAAGTAATCACTCCAATAAGAACTTCACTTCTTTTCAAGGCTGAATAATGTTCCATCGTATGGGTATGTCACATTTTGTATCTATATATCATTTGATGGACACTGAGGATGTTTCCACCTTTTGATGATTATGCTGCTATGAATATGGACTATTAAAAAAATGTTTTTATTGATGTTTAGAGAGAGGGAGAGAAATATCAATGTGAGAAACATTGATCAGCTGCCTCCTGCACATCCCCTACTGAGGATCAAGGCCACAACCTGGGCTTGTGTCCTAACCAGGAATCAAACTGGTGACCTTTTGGCACCTGGGACAATACTCAACCAACTGAGCCACTCTGACTGGGCAATATATCTTTCCGAGTTGAATTCACACACCTTCTCTGTGTCTGTCTGGAATATTATTGAGCCTTAAAAAGAAAAGAAATTCTGACACATGCTACAACATGGATGAACCTTGAGGACATGAAGTAAGCCAGTCACAGAAAAAGCCAAGTACTTTACGATCCCCCCTCTGTCCCCCTGCCTCCCAGGAGCAGTGGAGCTGGCCCGGCGCCACCCCGTGGCCTCCTGGCTGTGCGCCATGCTGCACTGCTTCGGCAGTTACATCCTGGCTGACCTGCTCCTCGGGGAGCCCCTGATCGACTACTTCAGCAACAACTCCAGCGTCCTGCTGGCCTCCGCCGTCTGGTAAGCATTGCCAGGCTGCCAGGGGGTGGGAGAGCAGAGCTGGAGGCCCGGGGTGACCCATTCACCAGAGAGGTGGGAGGCGGGAGGGACTGGGATCCAACAGCACAACCTCCACAGTGGCCCTGCGGGCGCTGCTCTGTTGCTCAGCTGTGTCCTGAGCCGGGCACTCAAGAAGGACACCACCTCCCCTCCCAGGGCCCCCAGAACCTCTCCCCTGATGCGTGGCACTCTCTCCCCGAAGGTACCTGATTTTCTTCTGTCCCTTGGACCTCTTTTACAAGTGTGTCTGCTTCCTGCCCGTGAAACTCATCTTTGTGGCCATGAAGGAGGTGGTGAGAGTCCGAAAGATCGCCGTGGGCATCCACCACGCCCATCACCACTACCACCACGGGTGGTTCGTCATGATTGCCACTGGCTGGGTCAAAGGTAAACAGGCCATAGTGATGACAACCGAAAACCACCCAGTTGAGAACCCTGGTCCAATGGCACATGTTGGGCAGCCAGGCTGAGGGGTATCAGGACTGCTGCAGAGGTCCAAGCTCCCCATTTGCCCACACCTTTAGAGCAAATAAGAAGATTCTTCCAGAAATTGAACTGTCAAAAGTAAATCGGACAAGGATGAAACAATGACAGCTGATCCCCAGAGCAGGGTTTCTCAGTGGTGGCACTGCTGACGTTTGATGCTGCGTCAGTCTCTGTGGTGGGGGCCGTCCCATGAATGGCCAGGGGTTGAGCGGCATCCCTGGCCCCCATCCCTGGCACCCCCTCCCCCAGTGATGACAACCAAAAATGCATCTAGACATGGCCAAATGCCTCCTCGGGGACAAAGTCACATCAGTTGTGAGCCCCTGGTGCAGAGGTGCAGGTCAGGAACCCCAGCTCACAGCCACTCCTGGAGAGGATTTTTTTTTAAAGTATATTTTATTGATATTTTTACAGAGAGGAAGGGAGAGGGGAGAGGGTTAGAAATATATATAGAGAAACATCAATCAGCTGCCTCCCACACACTTCCTACTGGGTATGTGCCGCAACCATGGTACATGCCCTTGACAGGAATCAAACCTGGGACCCTTCAGTCCACAGGCCAATGCTCTATCCACTGAGCCAAACCAGTTAGGAGAGTGTATTCTTCCTGGAAATGTAACCATTGTGTCTCCACGAAGCCAGTACTAATTCCCCGGGGATGTAGCGTGCCTCCCTCCCCGGGGGCACATGGTTTGAGAAAGATGGAGAGCTCAGGGTCCTGAGGAGAGAGGCTCTGTGAAGGGGGCCCCTGGAAGCCTCCTGCACAGCTTAGGGTCCTGGATTGGAAGCCTCAGGGCAGACGGCCCAGATGGACCGAAGCCTTTCAGGTGGGGTATTAGCTCGATTCCTTCATGCTTGTTTTGTTCCAAATGTGCTGCTGTGTGACCTTCCACACGACTCTGCCCACTCTGAGCATGTTCCTCACCTGCAACTGATCCTCACACACCCAGGCTCCTTGTCCCCCTGGAGAGGACTCCAGGAGCGGAGAGTCTGCTTCCTGGGGAAGGCAGCCAAGAAGGAAGCTGGGGGCGGCGGGTTCGCTCAGAAGCACCCTGTTTCGCAGGCTCTGGGGTTGCCCTCATGTCCAACTTTGAGCAGCTGCTCCGAGGGGTCTGGAAGCCAGAGGCCAACGAGATCTTGCACATGTCCTTGTGAGTACCCCATCCTCCCCACCCGTTCCTCCTGTGCCCTCTGAACCTGACCCTGGATTGGATACTCCTGGTAACTCGGAAGTCTAGCTCCTGATTCTGCCTTCCAAAAGCTTCCTGAGGACATGTCTGGGGCTACCTGGGGAGGGAACCACAATTCTGCCTAGGGGACAGGGGCAGGCAGAGATGCAGGGAAATCAGATATTCGATTTGGGTTTTGAAGAGTGAATAGGAGTTTCCTGGCAAAAAAAAAAAGGAGCCTCTGATTCATAGGCCATCACTTCTGCCAAGTCAGAAAAATAATTCTGCCTGGCTCTGCAGGGTAGGCGTGCACAGGCGGGTGGGGAGCGTGGGGCGCGGAGTGTGGGAATGTGGCTGGAGCTCCGTGGGGAATGGTGGGCAGGGCCAGCCTGCAGCATCCATAACCCACCCAGAATTCACACTGCATTTGGCCTAATGAATTTTTTAAAAAGACCTCACAGGGTCAGGCTAGTTAAACTTTCTCCCAATCTACAATAAGTAAGACTATAGCTATTAAAATATGACAAAACTAAAAAGCTTACCCAGAGACCAATGGAAATTGCCTGTTGTTTTACACTTTGGAGAATGTGGCTTTATCTCGTTTTATGTCCACGAGAAATCTGTTCCCCACCCTCAGTTCCCTGACAGAGAAATAGGGCCCAGATGGTTGCATCACTTGCTACTAAACAGGCAAGTGGCTTCCCCTCTCGGATTCTCATCAGCTGAGGGGAGGATTCCTTGGAGTCACAGACATAACCCCCTGGCCCTGGCTCCCGGTGAGTGCTTTGGCCAGATCATCGTGAGGCACAGGCAGTGAGTGACAGACATCAGGAGCAGAAGTCGTGGGTCTGTCTCTTACAACAAGTTAAAATCTGAGAATCCTGGCCTGCCAGGAAGAAAAAGAAAGCTAAGAAAAGGGTTTGTTGTAACCCCACATCCTGGGGAGTGTGCTGTTTGGGGGGTCCCTGACACCACCCTCGGGTTTGATGATGTGCTGGGACTCACGGAACTCAGCAAAGCCCTTTTGCTCGGGGTGACAGTTTGTTACAGGATATACATGTGAAAACGAGCAAAGCTAAGGTGCACGTGGGGCAGCACCCAGGGGAGACCGGGCTGAGCCTCTGGCTGCCCCTCTCAGCGGGCCATGTGGACGGCGCCTGTGTGACTCTGTGCACCGAATGGTCACAGCGAACTTCCCAACCTCGTGTCCCGGGATTTATTGGGGCTCCGTGACTCAGACATAGCTGACCACCTGCATGACCGACCTCCGCCTCCAACTCCCCTAGAAGTTGAGTTGATGCCACATAGCCCAAGATCCCCACTGAAATCACACCCTTACTCTCTGGTGTGACCCAAAGTCCCCAGGGAAAGCTCCCAGGCTCGAGACAAAGGCCAGATGCTCTCTGAGTCAAGTTAACCCTGTACTGCACAGAGATACCACCTCCTCAGCGCCATTTCACACTCAGCCAAGGGGAGCTGGGGCCGGCTGGGGGCAGGCAAAGAAGGGGGGCTGGTGCAGAAGTCCAAAGGCCTGAGCCGGGCCATGCCTCCCAGTAACCATGGCTGTCCCCTCCAGCCCCACCAAGGCCAGCCTGTACGGAGCCATCCTCTTCACCCTCCAGCAGACCCGCTGGCTCCCGGTGTCCAAAGCCAGTCTCATCTTTATCTTCACCATGTTCATGGTGTCCTGTAAGGTAAGCCTTCCGGTCCTGACCCACACCCACCTGCCCTTTCCTGTCCAAGAAAGGAAAACCCTAAGTGGGGATGGAGGCCGGGACCTTGCCCGTAGGTCTGTGCATGGAGTGGGGGTCTGAGAATAGCCAGCAGGTGGGCTCGGGAGTGAGGGAACAAGTCTCTCCCAGCAGAAGGCCCAGCCTAGGAAAAGCTGAGGGAGACAGGAGTGTGCAGGGGTGTGGAGAGCAGAGGGACAGGTACCCTCAGGGAAGGTACCCTCAGGAGGCTGGGCTACACCAAGAATGGTGCTGGTCTGATCATCAGGCCTTGAGTTGGGGTCGCCCCACCCTGCAGGAGGAGTTTTGAGGGGCCACATTCTCCTCCCTCCCTGTGGAGCTGGTACAGAGGTACAAAGGCCTGAGCCGTCAAAAGAGAATCAGTGACTCCAGGCTGGGCAGCCTCCTCCCTGAGCCTGGGTGTGGGAGTCCTTCTGGGGAGAGAGAGACCAGATGTTCCCGGTGCCCAGCAATGTCTTGGTTTTAGCATAAGGTGACCAGACGTCCCGCTTTTGGACAGTCCCGATTTCTAACCATTTGCCCCGTGTCCCGATTTTTGGAAAGTCCCAATTTTTGAAAAGAATCTTTTAAATATTTTGGACTTTTTAAAAATGCCGTGGGATGCGGGACAAATGGTTAAAAATCGGGACTGTCCCGCCAAAAGCGGGAGGTCTGGTCACCTTATTTTAGCACCAAAAGTTCCTCAGCCCCGGACAGTCGGTCACCCTCCTGAGGGTGAGGGGTTATGCAGCCAGAGGGCTGGGTGTGGCCTACCTCTGACCTTGATCTGGCTCATCTTCTCTTCCCCACCCCCTTGGCTTTCTCTCTCCATCTCTCTCTGTCTCTGCTGTCCCCTGTCCCCCTGCCACCCCTCCTCAGGTGTTCCTGACAGCCACCCACTCCCACAGCTCCCCTTTCGATGTTCTGGAGGGCTATATCTGTCCCGTGCTGTTTGGGACGGCCTTGGCGGGTGACCATCACCACGACAACCACGGTGGGGCCCATGGAGGGGCCCACGGTGGCAGTGGGCCCGGCTCCCCGCACGCCGCCATGGCCGCCAAGTCCAAGGAGGAGCTGAGTGAGGGCTCCAGGAAGAAGAAAACTAAGAAGGCAGATTAGTGCAGTGGCCCACGGGGCTTGTGGGGTGCGGGGAGAAGACCCAGACCCAGAACCTTCAGAGTCCGGGGTGGGGGAGGTGTCCTGGGCTCATTTGTCCCCTCTCCAGGCCTCACCTTCCCTGTCCTCAAACTGGGGCCCTTAGCCCACCCTCTGGGGCTGATGTGAGGGGTTAGATGAGATATGGGGTAAAGGGCCTTTGTAGGAATGGGGTTTCTCTCTGTGGGACCCCTGTCAAGCCAGATTTGGGGGGAGGGAGTGTGAGGCACAGAATCATGGCAGTGGCTCCAGAAACACTGGCAGTTATGTTCCTGGCTCTATTATTTCCTTTTAAAATTATGTTTTGACTGTATTTCAAGCATCATTGAGACATTTATTTGACGAACAATTCCTGAGTACCTTCTGTGAGACAGCTGCTGTGATTGCCACATCTTGCTGACTCCTCCTGGGCATCCCGGGGCAAGGGGCCTCCTTCTCTGAGCCTTGCGCTCCCCATCTGTGGAATGGGGGCCCCTGGCCCTTCTCTGCACAAGAGCTGATGTGAGGCTGGACGTGAGCCAGCCTTCCATGCTCAGAAGCATCGTGCAGTCAGAGGGGGGCCATCGCGGGGTTTCCTGTGCTTGAGAACTGCTTTGTGCTTTAGATGGTTTGTGTCTGTGGGGTGGAGACCTTCACAAGGTACCTGGCAGGAAGGAGGCCTTGAGCAGACACATCTGGGCCGGACTTTAGGACACGGGAGGGTGGGAAAGGCTTGTTCTGACCTTTGGCTTTGGGCTACCCCCAAACCAAAGACATCCAGCTGTCTGAGCAGGGGTCCCAGGGCCCAGCTTTGCCCAGGAGGCCCTGGAAGCATCAGACCTTCCTCATGCCGGCCCATTGCTGGTCATTCAGTCACTCAACAAACATGTTTCCGCCTACTCTGCCAAGCCTCGCGCTGCTGCTGGGCAGGCTGGGATTTGCTTCTGGGTGAATGAGGAGGATGGTAGCTGAAGGCCCCTCCCAGCCGCCTTCATCTAATCCTAGGTCACCAGGAGGTCTGAGAGAGCTGGGTAGATTGACTATGGCCAGTCCCGGGCGGGAGTTTGGGCCCAGGCCGGCCAGAGGCTGCGCTCTGCACACGGGTGCTCAGAGTGTGCTCAGGGCATTAGCCTGCAGCTGCTTCGAGGTTGTCTTGGAGTTATTGGGGTCCCAGGTGTTGCCCAGCTGCTGGGAAAGTGCCTTGATCTGGTGACACCTGTGAGCTGGACGGGTCCTAAGACTGCAAGGCCCTGAATTCACCCTCTTGCATGTCCATCAAGGCTCAGCATGAAGATTCAGCAAATAAATCTGTTGTGAGAGAATCCTGCTGGCTTGTGTGACAGATTCCTGATTTTTTTTCTCAGAGATGCTCAGAGTTTCCTGGGGAAGGAGGCTCATGGCAGCTCCTGATCACCAGTGGGACATAGAGGCGGTGGGTGAGGTCTGGGTTCAAATTTTTGCTCTGCCACCAACAGGTCATGGGGCCTTCCCTTTTCCAAGCCCGTTTGCTTCTTGGGAAAAGGGGGAGATAATTATCATTGTCCTTCAGAGATAGGTGGGATTAATTGGAGCGTTTGGGATTTGCAATTAAGAGTCTGTGCAAGGTTCTGTTAATAGAAAAAGACAAGACACAGACTGGGAGGAAATCTTTGAAAATTATATATCTGATAAAGAATTGTATCCGAAATATATAAAGAACTCTCAACACTCAAATAAAAATAAATAAATAAATAAATAAATAAATAAAAACAGCCCAATTTTAAAATGGGCAAAGGACTTGAATGGGCATTTTGCCATGAAGAATATAGAAATAAGCACACAGAGACACTCAATGTTCGTGGCCATCAGAAAAATGGGTAGGAGGTACCATTTCACACTCATGAGGACGGCTAACCATAAGACTGACCCTGCCAAGTGCTGGGGAGGATGTGGAGCAACTGGGACTCATACACTGCCGACAGCGTAGTCCCTTTGGAAGGCAGTTGGGCAGTTTCTTAAGAAGTTAAAAGTACACTTATCATACGACCCAGCATTCCACTCTTGGATATTTGCCCAAGAAAAGTGAAAGTGTGTCCACACAAAGACATGCACACAAAAGTTCGTCGTAGCTTTTTAAAAAATTATTGACAGTATTACAGATGTCCCCCATTTTCCCCTTTGCCCCCCTCCACCCACCCTCTGCCCCACATAAGGCCGTCCTCACACTATTGTTTATGTCCATGGGCTATGCATATATTCATATATGTTCTTTGGTTAATCTCTTACAGTCCCTCCCACCTCATTCCCTCTGAGAGCTGTCAGTATGTTCCATGCATCCATGTCCTGGACTTGTTTTGTTCATCACTTTGTTTTGTTCACTAGATTCCACATATAAGTGAGATCTTGTGCTATTTGTCTTTCTATGACTGGCTTATTTTACTTAGCATAATACTCTCCAGGTCCCTCCATGCTGTCACAAAGGGTAAAAGATCCTTCTTTTTTATAGGCACATAGTATTCTTTTGTGGAAATGTTTTTTTTTTAAATATATTTTATTGATTTTGTACAGAGAGGAAGAGAGAGGGATAGAGAGTTAGAAACATCAATGAGAGAGAGTCATCGATCAGCTGCCTCCTGCACACCCCCTACTGGGGATATGCTCGCAACCAAGGTACATGCCCTTGACCGGAATCGAACCCGGGACCCTTCAGTCCCCAAGCCGATGCTCTATCCATTGAGCCAAACCGGTTTCGGCTGTTTGTTTGTTTTTTTAATATATTGACTTTTTTACAGACAGGAAGAGAGAGGGATAGAGAGCTAGAAACATCGATGAGAGAGAAACATCGATCAGCTGCCTCCTGCACACACTACACTGGGGATGTGCCCGCAACCAAGGTACATGCCCTTGACCTGGGACTCTTCAGTCCACAGGCCAATGCTCTATCCACTGAACCAAACCAGTTTCGGCTGTACCACAGCTTTTTAATCCACTCATCTACTGATGGACATGCTTAGTTATTGTATATAACACTGCTATGAAAATAGGGGTGCATATATTCTTTCTGAATGGTGTTTCCGAATTCTTAGGATATATTTCCAGAAGTGGGATCACTGGATCAAATGGCAGTTCCATTTTTTTGAGGAAACTTCATACTGTTTCTCATAGTGAATGAAAACACCAGTCTGCATTCCCACCAGCAGTGTACCAGGGTTTTGTTAATAATAGCCCCAAGCTGGAAACAAACAAAATGCCCCCAAAAGGTGAATGGATAAATAATTGGCCCGTGGAAGGGATTGTTGCTCAGCAATAAAATAGAACCAAATGGAATAGCATGAATGAGCTTCATATGCCTTGTGATGGGTAAATAAAAGTCATCCAAAAATAATGCATATTGTCTGAGTCCCTTGATATAAAATTCTAGAAATAGAAAGCTGATTGATGGGTGCTTGGGGAGAGGAGGGGAGGTGGGTGGGAGGGCTGGCAAGAAAGCACAAGGGGTCTGGGCGATGGATGTCTTCACCATTGAGTGTGTGGTAATGAGAAGAAAAACCCCTATTTGTAACAAACTGTTTGGAATTTTCTGCTCTTAGATGGCCTTTTATTCTAAAATGTTGCTTTCTAGTCTGCTTTAGCCTGTTTGAATAATGATGAAGATAAACTTAGCTGTCTGACCTTGTAGGCCAGAGACCAGATATGCCCATAATCTCAATGCCATGCCAGGTGCATTTTTTAATTGGATAGAATTGTATTGTTTTCAAGGCCACCATCTCGATAACCACTAAATGCACATAGGGCTGGCTCTTTAATAAAAAGGGAAGTTCTGCTTATAGCCTTGCTTAGAATTTGAATTCATTTTCTCTAGGCCCATTGCGCGATGAATAAAGTGAGCCTCTCCAAACTCTCCTCCTGCATTATTTGTTTGGGAACTCTGTAACAGTAATGGCTTCACAGGTCTATATTCCTCACAATTTATCAAATTGTTTACTTACTAATATGAACACTTTAGTATATGTCTATGGCACCTCAATCAGGCTGTAAAAAAATATTCAGTAAGAAAAACACACACATTTAAAATTAGGCAAAATATTTGAAAAGATAATTCACCAAAGAAAATGTATGGATGGCAGGTCATCACAAGAAAAACACATTAAAAGCACAATGAAATGCCACTGCATATCCATCATGGGCTGGATTATGTTAGCCTCAACATTTATATGTTAAAGTCCTAAGCTTTAGTACCTCGGACTGTAACCATATTTAGAGATGGGGTCTTCAAAGGCATGATTAGGTTACAATGAGGTCTTTAGGGTGGACCCTAATTCAATATGACTAGTGTCCTTATAAGAGGAAGAAATAAGGACACAGACATTCGCAGACCAGGGGAGGACATGGAGAAGATGGGTGTCTGTGGGCTGTGGAGAGAGGTCACAGAATAAACCAACCCTGCCAGCACCTCGATCGTGGGCTTCCAGCTGCCAGAACAGTCAGAAAATACATTTCCATGGGTTAAGCCACTCAGGGCTTTGTTATGGCAGCCCTAGCAAATCAATACACTATTGCTCAGAAAGAATAAAGTAAAAATAACTCACAATACCAGGTGCTGCTAAACATTTGGAGCCACTGGGAAACAGCTAGGCAGTTTCCTATGAAATTAAACATCACTTATCATACGAGACAGCGATCCCATTCCTAAGCGAAGCGCACACTCGTGTTCACACAAGAAACGTTGAAAGCAAGCTGATTACGGTAATCCCCGAGAGCTGGACGCATCCCCGTGTCCATCAGCTGGTGAGCGGGTGAACATTATACAGCGGCCCCATCACATAATGAATACTACCCCGAGATAAAAAAGGAAGAAACTTCTGACACACGCAGCAAAGTGGAAGAATCTCGAGTGCATTTGCTAAGGGAAACGTAAAGGGCCCTCGTCCCACGTGGTTCAGGGTTCAGGCTCTGGAAGAGGGGCCGCGCGAATGAAAGAGACGCAAATGAAAGAGAGGAGACAA